TATATTTCTTTGAATTGTTTTGGATAATTTTCGTTTATTTTTGTTTGCTGCGGTTTTGGTTTTGGTTGGGGTGGTTTCGATTATGGGTTACGGGTTTTGGTGGTGGATTTGGATGGTGGTGGGGGGTTTTGATAGTGATGGGGTAAATTTAGGCAGCGGTGGTAGATGAATTGCGGTGTTGGTGGGGTGAATTTTGATGGTGGCTTAGGAGCGGAGGGGGTACCGTTTAGGGTGGGGCTGTGTTTTTTTTTTGTTTTTTTTATTGACTTTTGACTTTTCCGACGGAAATTCCGTCGGAAATTTCCGGCGGACAGTATCCGTCGGAAATTCCGTCGGAAGACGGGTTTTCGACGAAAATTCCGTCGAAAAATGTCATTTTTTCTACAAATTCTTTTGCAACAACTGTTTCCGACAGAATTCCGTCGGAAACCCGTTTTCCAACAGGAAACAGGGTGTTTTCGACGTAAAATTTCCATCGGAAATAGCCTATTTTCTAGTAGTGCATGCTAAGATGTATGTGGTACCTCGTTATGGCCTTATGGGCTCCAATGGGGCATAGTGGGGCTTGATTGGGCCAAAACTACTTTAGAGTTTAGCAACTCCACAATAGACATGTCACTCACACACCTAGGTACCTTATACTGAATGATAGATGCTCGTCTTGATATTGCATAGTCCATCAAATCCTCAAATGTTCCATTCTTTTCCACTCGAATATCTAATGGCCCGGCTGACAGGTGTTCAGCCCGACTTCGTCAATATACCGAGTTAAGGGCCTCCTCAATGGCTAAAGAGCACTGGCCCAATACCTCATGATCTGGCTCAGTTGCGGTGTCGTTAGTTAAAAGCTCCAAATACATGACATAGTGTCCTGGTATAGATTTGACATTTGCATAGCTTGTGTACTCAACAACTCTTGCATTGAAGGTTTTGAGTAGAGTTGATGCGCTCTCAATTGCATTTTGCAACTCGAATTCATCTGTATTATCTATATCCATATTGAGTAGAACGTTCTTTCTGCTAACGAACTTAACTTGTGGAGTTGAATTTTGAAATCCTGTCATGTATAACACATCCCCGACTTTGTACCTATACATTTGGAAGTAATAAATATAGAAATGTCGTAAAACAAAATGTTGAGAAAGAAAAAATAACACACACTTTGTCAAAAGACTACCACTTGTACATTGTTAGCCAAGAGTATTAAGATAAATTACCTATACAATCCTGATTGTGTGGTGACTACAATCTCATACTCCTTTCCGACCTCCACATTAGCAAAGTCCACAATCCGATGAGTTGAGTTGTCGTCGAGTGGGATACACTCAAAATACGTCATGTTAGGCATAATCGTGTAGGAGACCTCCGAAGGGGCAAACATTGGATTAAAATTAGGTCCAAACAAGCACTCTTGAGGACACATACTTGTTAATTACCTTATGTAGCCCACCGCTATAATAGTCCAACATAGGTATATATTGAGCCATTGCACCCGTCACAATCACATCCAAGTACTTTGTATTGGGCCAAATCCTCCTAATTATCCCCTCCCAATTTTCACCTTCACATACATGGTTTATGAACTCTGAAAGCTCTGGGTCAGGCCTCATGATCTTATCCATGCAGGCCCGTAGGCCCAAATGAGTGATCGTTGAGCTTGAAGTACTGGTGTTGATGTCGTGACAAAGGTTGGAAAAGTGGACTTGGAGGAAACGGATGGCACGAAGAAGGCCAGATGCAAATATGGCTCTTATACATAGGACCTCATTGCGCTCATAAAGACCACATAACATTTGGGTGTACATGTACTGGAAGAGTCAGGGCAAAGTAGACCTGATCAAGTATGGCCCGACCCGATTTTGGGCAGAATTTTTTGGCCAGAAATCGGGTTGGGCCTGGCCCGGTCAAATTTTAATTGGGCGGGTTTGGAAATGTGTTTTTATGCATATTTAGTTGATTTCTTAGGCCTGATCCGAAAAGCCCGCACGACTTGACCATTTTGGGCGGGTTTGGGCACAAAAATTCTAGCCCGAAGCTTGGCCCGGTCCGAGAAGTGGGCATAATTTTTTAGCTTCGGCCCGACCCGCCCAATTATCACCTCTAGGGCAAAGTATAGCCTCATTAGGGCTAGTATAATTGTTGGGTCGATTTCTGAAGTGGCTACTATTGAAGAAGCTTGTGGTAAATGGACTAACCACTAGGCCTCCTGGAGTCTTCTTTTCTGTCTTGGTGAATAGAAAGTAGAGCCTTTTCCCTTTGCCTAATTCTGGTATGCATCTGTTGATGATACAAATTTAACAAAATAACAACTGTGGTTAGAGCTTCATTTATTTCACAAGCTAAAAAACGGAACGTAACTATAAGTATAATACGTCATTTATTTTAAGTTCTTTACACTTTGACATTTAACATTATTTACAATTTAACTCTGACAACATTTGAATTTTTTTAATTTTTAATAACATGTGATGTCTTATTACGATCATATCAAGATGTAGTTTTGAGATACAATTTTTTTTTACACATTTTACAAAAAAATGATATTAACTCATAAAAATTTTACAAGTGGCGAAAAATTAAAATGTAAGCAACTTAATCAAAACAACAGAGGTAACTGATTACTCCGTAAATATACAACTAAGTCCCAATATTGAGTAATGGCGATTATAGGAGATCAACTTACTCATTAATAAATGACATTTATAGGCTGTGAAGCAGCATCCTTGAATCCTTATCCTCAGCAGTTGTTGGAATCAATTTGCTTTTCCTGCTGAAGTTCCCGAGCTGCAATAATCTCAATTTAGAAAATGATAAATACATCCGTAAAGGGTTGTTGATAAGGTCATAAGGAGGTAACAATGGAAATATCAAGCATAATCAGGTAATCTGATCGAACCTTGATGTGTTTGTCCATATTCCAAAATTAATGCAGTCCCTCTATATTTTTGTAAGCTAGCCAAGTTCGGGAGAATTTTTAGTTTAATCATATGTCACAACTATAGTTGTGGATAGCATTAATAAGGGAAAATATGTAAACAAATATTTTTAGGGATGTAAATGTCTGCACACTATTCTTAATATTTAAAAAAAAAAAAAAAAAAGTAATTTACGTTAATGAGAACAAATAAGTAAATAAACATTTTAGAGGGTATAATAATTCAAACATTACTAATAAGAGTTATCTCAAACTTTTTACAAAGTAAGGAAATAATAAGTATATCAATTAGACTGTGGAATTTTGGACTTAGATCTGTCTTTGGATTGTAGGGTTGTTACTAGTCCTAGACCGAACCAATTCCAACCAGAAATTTTAAAAATTTAAGACTAAGAGACCAGACTAGTTTTTTGCTTGGACAGAACTGATAAAATCAGTCCAAGATCTGGATCAGACTGATTTCAATTGGATTTAAAATTTTCTCTATTATTTTAATTTTTTTTTTTTCAATATGCAAATAAGAGAAAAAATAAGCTTAAATAAAATGATTATTTATTGCATAAATTGAAAGTCTAACTTAAAATAACTTATAATATAAAAATGTTATAAAAGGCTAAAGTGAAACATTGTAGAAGTTTTATTTATAATTTTAAACTAAAATTGGTTCAATTCGACCCAAGATTTTATTTTAGGGTTTTGGACTAGGTTCAGTTTATTATCAAATCTTAACCGGTATATGAGCACCCATAGTGAATTAGTGATTGGTGGTTCTTTGATTTGCACCTTTAAGAAACACGGAGTATATAAATAAATCAAAGTACGTAAAATTAAAATCGATAGAAAATTACCTAATGCAAAGTTCAGTAATTGGTTGCGCACAAAGAATTGGTGAAGATCCCCATTAGCAATGGTTGGATATCCGGCTGAATATCCTCCTACGTCACCACTAGAACCTTGTTCTTAAACGTCTCAAGCCTAACACACCCGTTCATACCATGTCGTTTTAAGTACTCGGTGTCGGCGTTTTGGCTCAAAATCCTAGCCAAAACCTCCTTTTGTTGTTCCTCACACTTGCTCGTCACCTCCTCTATGAACTGCAACGTTAGCACCGCCACATTTTTATCTCTCCTCGCCATTGGCGTCGATCTATCGTAATAAAAAGAGTGTTGCTGTTGCAAGATGTAAGATGTATAAGAGAGTGCAATAATACTGCAGGCAGCTTGTGGTAGTAGCTTATTAATATTGGAGCTCTTGTTTGCATTAGAGTGATAGTAGAGAAATACTTAGTTAATGGCAAAAGAACGGCATGGTCACGTTAGAAGTTACGTAGATAATGCTCCACTTATGTATAAACAACAACGCAATAATGATTAAGGTTGTTGATTAACCTTAGTTGACTTAATGTGTTGTTTATCAATGCGATGTGGGTTGGTTATTGAGATTCTAGGGACTTCTTTCTAATTATTCGAACTTTTTATTACATTTTGGGATTTTACGCAGTTATTAAGCTTTGAAAATAGGTACTATTAGAATGAAAGTATTTGCTTTGAGAGTAGGTAAGTATTTTGAAAAATAGAAATACTTCGTTATGATGTATGTAAATATTTTGGTACTCGGTACGAATGTATAATGGGTCCACCCTAAAAATCTTGGGCCTTAGTATTCTTTAAAATTTTGGGCTCTTCTGTTAATTATCTTTATCTAAAGGGGAAAAAAAAAAAGTTAATGTGTATTACTGCGGCATTATTTGATGCTACTTTTTAAATGCAATTATGCGCCATACAACCAGCTGTATCTAATAAAACACCATTTTAAAAGTGCAAATTTTGTAATAGTTATAAACATAAAAATCTATATTTGCTCATTTCTAATTTAATTAAATGGTTAAAAATAATGTTTGTTTGGAAAGTGAAAAACTTTATTTTGGTTAAAAGTATTGGATTTATTATTGTTTTTGGGTGATATAGAGATTTTAATTAAGCATGTCTGTATTTTAAATAAAGAGTAAACAAGATGAAGAGTTTAATTAGTGAAATTTTATATTTTAAATGTGCTCAACTTTGACAAATTAGCAAAAAATAATGGCTCATAATATTTTACAAAGTCACCATAATTAACAACAATAATTAGATAGGCAATTAGGTGAATTATTCATGTATGCTATTTATTACACATAATAATTTCTTATTTAGAAACGAACATAATTACTCCATACAAAGAAAAAATGATTTGTAATAAAGAAAAAAAGGTGCACAAGCAAATAAAAAGTTGACGGCAGAACTACAGTAGTTGAAACACCATGCACGTAGTAAGATCGGAGAATTAGTTAGTGCCACCAAAGAGTTTCTTCAACTTCTTCACCTGTATAGCATCCAACAAAGTCATCTTCTTAACCAATTCAGTAGGAAGGTCATTTGCACCTAGGGAAGGGGTAGTGATTTCGAAGCCTGGACTCGGGCTGTTTAAGGTTACAAATGCAAGAGCAGGAATTTTTCCGACATTGACTTGGAAATGAAGTAATGTAGGTGGAAAGATCATAATATCCGCCTTATGTAATGTTTTGTAGAATGCGGTGCCATTTGTGTCTATAAAACCAGCAACAATTGTCCCCTCGGATACAAGGATAAGTTCTGACACTCGGTGTGAGTGAATTGGGACAGCTCCACCAACACCAATGTCTAGACGTCCCATGGAAAGGCCTAGACCGTTCAAGGCTGGGAACGTTACATCCACTGCAAAAACGGAATTAAGATTGAAAAGCTCATTAACTGTGTTAGTTATGTTACTTGGTTTACGCAAACCTGAGAAAACAAAGTCATCCGCTGTAAGGCTAGCAGGATTTTTACAAGGGTATCCTGCTGGTCCAACTGGATGATTAAAATCCGCGACACAATAATCAACGACTATTGTCGCATAAGAGAAAGGGGCAAGGAGAGCTAAGAGGAAGATAGCTTTAAGAGCATCCATGTTCGATGGAAGTTAGAAATATAAGATAAGAAAGGGAAGGAATTAAGATATGTTTTGGTTGGTGTGTTAGTGTCTTTTACATTGTTCCTATTTATAGAATCTAAATGTACAACAACCTCGTAGAAATTTCATTGATCATAAAATTATTAATGCATGGGACCATGGCTTACGTGGGAATAAAGATTAAAGTCCAATTCTTTGCTCATTAACCTTATTTTCAAAGTTTATAAAACCCTGTATACATTATTTTCAAAGTTTAACCCCCGGTTTTATGAACCTTTTTTCTTTTTATTTTTGTTTACAATTCTTTTCTCAATATTTAACCCCTTTAAAGGATCAACTAATTAGCGTAATGGAATTTTGAACTAGAAGGAAGCTTCAGTAAATTTACACACGAGGTGTCTAATTTGGAAACATGCTAATAAACAAATTCTTTTGACCAATGATTTTTTTTAAAAAAGATTTGGTAGATATGGAGAAAACAAAACCAAATTCTCGCACATGCTAATACGATCTGGGTTAGTGGGAAAAGCCTCCACTGCTATACCAAGTACTACTTTTTTTTTTTTTTTTTTTTTTGAAACATACCAAGTACTACTTGATAACCATACTAACCAATGTTTTTATTACTTTACCTGATTACCTCATTTCTTGATTGATAAATATTTACACAATTAACACATAGTTTAATTAAGTTGTGTAAGCCCGCAAATCTTACAACAATTACAAGACTTAAATATTCGTTGGCGTAACAACATACTTCGCACATATGTGTGCTAAGTCACAAAATGTATGTGATTACGTAACTTCACTAGCTTGATATGATAGATTTATTAAGAAATATTTTCTTTATATAATACTAATGGGAAAATAAGAGAGATACTTGACAGCGTTATACTACGTATAAATTTAATAAATCCAATATCCTGCCACATGATTTTGAGTATGAACTTTGAGAAAATTGCACATTGAGACAATTTGTTGAATATTTAATTTAACTTAATAACGATGCGAAGTGCCTCTCTCTGCCTTTCTCCAATACTATTATGTATAATTGTATAACTGATTCACTACTCATAAAGTAGTAAAGTCATACGTATGATAAATTTAAAATACTTCGTATACTAATAAGCATATATGGTTTTATAATATTTTTAGTAACCAGAGGCCTTATTCACTTCACCTCAAAAAAAAAATATTTTGTAAAATTAATTCCAATTCAGTAAAAGTAATTTTAAAGTAAAAATAATTTCCATTCAATAAAAATAATCTCAAATCAGTAAAATTCAGTAATTTTAACAAAGAAATATAATAGAACATCAATATAAATAAATACAGTTCAGTTAAAATAAGTTAAGTTCAATGAAAGTAAGTTAAGTTTAGCAAAAATAATTTCAGTTCAGTAAAAATATATTCAGTTCAGCAAAAATGAGGTGAAGTGAACAAGACCTTAATGGGTGTTAGGAATTATTTCATTTGTTTAGATTAAGTAATGTTAGTATTAAGACCCTGTTCACTTCAACTTAAAAAAATAATATTTAGTAAAAATAATTTCAGTTCAGTAAAATTAATTTCAGTTCAACAAAAATAAGTTTAGTTTAATAAAAATTATTCCAATTTAGTAAAAATCAGTAATTTTAAAGAAGAAATATACTACCTCCGTTTCATATTTTTTTTTGCAACTTTGGAATATTTTATATCTCACAAATAATACCCCAAAGTTGCAAAAAATATGAAACGGAGGTAGTAACAAAAAATCAGTAAAAATAATTTCAGTTCACCAAAAATAATTTCAGTTTAGTATAATTAATTTCAGTTCAGTAAAATTACTTTCAGTTTATCAAAAATAATTTTAGTTCAGTAAATATAATTTTAGTTCAGCAAAAATAAGGTGAAGTGAACGGGGCCTAAGTTGTACTATGTTTTGTCTAACTGAGTTTGGTTTTTTTTTATATTTTATTTTTTTTATTTTTTTTATTATTAAACACTCTATCGTTATATAAATGATATAATGTGATATTACAAAATTAGGCTATGTTTAAATCAACTTCTTTTAATTATTAGATTTGATTTCAACTTATTTTTTTAATTTTTCATTCTTTTTTATTAGACCTATTAGATAACTTATTTAGTTGTTTAATTGGCTAAATTTTGATCTTATATGTACGCTAATTCAAAGGGAAAAACCAGATGAGGTTTTATTAGATTCATATTAATGAATATTCAAAATAGGTAATTTTCTTAATATTTTTCATTTTGAGATTAAAGATATGTATAACGATAAAAATGTGCATATGAAACGATAAAGGAACTCAAACATAGTCATTACAGATTTCGAACATATAATTTCAAGCTTTTGGGGTTAAAAAAAATTAATCCAAAAACCCAAAAAAAAGAAGAAAAAAAGTACATGTTATTCAATTTTACAAAGGCACTTGTACACTAATGAACAGATAAACATAATTTATAAATTTATTAGGTTTTCGAAAATTAAACACATTGCATATCATCTTTTATTACATAGTTGTAAATATTTGTAAAACACATATATAATCGCAACATAGCATTAATTAGTGCCACCAAAGATTGACTTCAACTCTCTCACTTGCTCAGCATCCAACATCTTTTGAATTATATTAGTTGGAAGATCATTTGCAGCTAGAGCAACAGTTGTGGTTTGGAAGCCAGGGTTGGCGCTGTTTAAGCTAACAAATGCAAGAGCAGGCGAATCACCAACTTTTACTTGGAAGTGAAGTAATGAATGTGGAAAGATCATAATATCCCCCTTATTCAATGTTTTGTAGTAAGCAGTGTTATCCGACCCTATAAATCCAGCAATTATTGTACCTTCGACTACAAGGATAACCTCTGATACCCTATGTGCGTGAATTGGAATAGCTCCACCCACGCCAAAGTCTAATCTTGCCATCGAGAGGCCTAGACCATTTAGGCCAATGTAAAATCAATTGCTAGGAATGCAGAAGCATTAACAATATTTGTTGTGTTACCTGGAATACTTAGACTAGAGAAAACAAAGTCATCCACAGTAACATTAGCGGGATTCTTACAAGGAAATCCCGTTGGCCCACCAGGATAATTGAAATCTGCTACACAAAAATCGACGACACTTGTGGCGATTGAGAGATAAACAAGTAGAAGAATGAAAAAGAAGATTATTTTATGAGCATCCACGTTTGGAACAATTTTGAAATGTATGCTAGAATAAATTATTGTATGTCCAACTCTGTTTTGTTTCATCTGGTTGTGATATTGTCTTTGTATTTATAACATATTTGAATGGTAGAGTTATTCGCTAATCACTTCTTTTTTTTATTAATATATAAATGAATATAATGTCATATTCCCCATAATCGTCATTGTTAACGTGGATACTCGAAATCAATGTAAGCTACCACATACAATCTATCTTAGCTTCGATGAAAGTAATGGTAGAGTAACCAAGCCAAACTATTAATTAATTTATTAAATTTGGGGTTGATCTAAAATTTATTTTAACAAATAATTTTGACTATTGACATTGAAATGGTTTAATTATTCCAACAAAAAAATTTAAGGAAAATATGCCTAGAATCATTCATATATCGTAAATCCATGAAATATATTTTAAACTAAGGAAATATTTCATAAAAAATGAGTGAAAATATCAAATTTCCTTAATTATGCCCATTTTTTTTTTATTTAATTTTCAATTTATGGCTCACTTCAACCGCTGCAATAGCTGGTGATGGACATGGCCTTGGAAATTAAAAAGGAAAAATTGAGGTGATCACGTGCAACTCACACGATAATTAATTTGGCGCGAAAGTGGTAGTCAGAACAATTGTCGAACCAGGCAAAGGCTATGGTCAATCACAAAAAGTACTTTAAGATCCCAAATGTCAAATTTTTTTTTTAATAAAAGGCCATTCATTTCTTAGGCAAAGGGCATGAGATTTAATACAGTAGATGTAACCAAGGTTAAAAAGGTTTTAAATAAAAGGTTTTTTTTTTTTTTTTTTTTTCAAAAGTAATATTGTAAAAGGTTAATAAAATTGCTAATTTTATACTTGTATGAGTTTACCTATTCCTAGTGTATACTCTCTAGTGAATGATTTGAATGGTTAAATGAAAGTGTGTTTGTTTTACATAATCTATGCTTTCAACTGGCCGGATTATGTGACAGTTTTATTGCGCTCAAACTTTGAATTTTCCAAGCATGTATACGGCTTAACTTTGCGCTTCATCTGTCTTGATTTTCAAATATACATTTATAGTTAGGACTTTTTTTGTAAATAACCACCCCTAAAAGTACCCTTTATTAAACTAACCACCCATTTTTTAAAAAAAAAATAAAAAAAATACCACCTCTTAAAGTCAAAACTAGTAGAAATCACCACCTTTCTCCTATTCCAGCTAGTTTTCCGACTTAGTCCGGACAATTTTTCGACTTAAGGGCCGACAAAATGTAAAATCAAAATTAAATTATAAAAAAAAAAACCCAAACCCACCCCTGCGACCTCCAGCACCCCCTCCCCTTCCACGTTTTTGTTTTCCGCACCCCCTCCCTTCCCCGTCCTCATTTCCAGCAATCCCCTCCCTTCCCCATCCCCGTTTCCAGCAATCCCCTGCCTTACCCAGAAAAATTGAATTTGATTAAACCAACAAATTAAAACCCAAAAATAAAGAAAATTAAATTAAAAAAATAAATTTGAAGAAAAGATGAATGCAACCTTGGAATGACCAGAGGAAGCGACAATGTGGGTGGGGTTTTGTGAGGAAGCAGCGACGTGGGTGGGGTTTCTCGTGGGGAAGCGGCAACATGGGTGGTATTTCGTGAAGAAGCGGTGACTTGGGTGGGGTTTTGTGAGGAAGCGGTGAGTTGGGGCTTGGTGGGGTTTGCCGACATGAATAGTGGCTGGTTGGCGTGGGGGTGTCCAGCAAGTGACTGATTTGGGGAAGCGGCAGACTGGCAAGAGATGGGGGAGGGGTTGCTGCCAGGGGCTGGGGTTTGGGGGATTTAATTTTTTTTTTTTTTTTTAAAAAAATTTTGATTTTTTTATTTTTTTTTTTACCAATCACGTGGTGATACGCATACACTAAGTCTAAAAACTAGCCGGAAGTAGAGAAAGGTGGTGAAATCTACTGATTTTGACTTTAATGGGTTGTATTTTTTAATTTCGAAAAAAACGGGTGGTTAATTCAATATATAGGGTGCATTTAGCGGTTGTTATTTTAAAAAAAAATCCTTTTTATGTTGAGTATAATTGAATTGTCACACCGGCCAATAATGTTTCATTTTCAGAAGAATACTATTATAATCATTGTTATGTCTTTGTATTTCCTTTTCAGAAGAATACTATTATAATTATTGTTATATGCATCGTATATGCTTTTAAAAATAAGAAAAATGAAAAAAAATAATCTCATCTCTAACATTTCTGATCAAAACAATCCCACCT